TACATAGGCAGGTAGGTAGGTAGGTAGGTAGGTAGGTAGGTAGGTAGGTAGGTAGGTAGGTAGGTAGGTAGGTTGGGACGGATGTAGGGAGGGGGTAGGTAGGTAGGTTGGTAGGTAGGTAGGTAGGTGCATAATAATGAAATAATAGTTAATACATCATTGTTATGATGTGTGTTTTATCAGGTATTTTGGTGCGAATAAATGTTGTTTCGAGAAATATGACGAATGCATGTTTGATGACGCGGATTAAAGAGAGAGAAGTTTTGCCATAGGAACGGGTTGTTATGGAATGCAAGCTAGGTAGTTCGGACTAGGGAGAATGTGAGAGATACTTCGTGTAATATTGATATCAAGGATAGTTTTATGTTTATTTATACGAGAATAGTAGTTGAATAATTATTGACCAAGAAAATAATAGGCATTGTGTAAAGTGATTATCGCCTGTATCGTGGTGATGGGAATGCACATGGTAGTGGTATGCTTTAAATGGTAGTAGATCACGTGATCAAACACGACACTCTCACAGCAGCCCTAACGGTCGTGTATAAATGTGTCATCTAGTCGATATAGGTCTTTGCTAAATTTCTCTTTTGCAAATTTTTCGTTGTGTTTTTTCTGGTTGCGCATTTTTTTGTTTCCGCTTCTTTCTGTTTGCGCTTTTTTTCCGTCGGCGCTTTTTTCTGTGTGCGCTTTTTTTCTGTTTGCGCTTTTTTCTGTTTGCGCTTTTTTCTGTGTGCGCTTTTTTCTGTTTGCGCTTTTTTCCGTGTACGATTTTTTCTTTTTGCGCTTTTTTCCGTTTGCGCTTTTTTTCTGTTTGCGCTTTTTTTTTGTTTACGCTTTTTTCTGTTCGCGCTTTTTTCTGTGTGCGCGTTTTTCTGTTTGCGCTTTTTTACGTTGCGCTTTTTTTTTCGCTTTTTTTCCGTTGCGCTTTTTTCCGTTGCCCTTCTTTCTTGTCACCGAATATAGTAGTACCCCTTACTCGCTATGCAGGACGCTCGATTAACGGATGCCAAGTGCCAACATAGTCGCTTTAAAACTCTGGGCGCCAAACCGTGTGTTGACGAAAATTATACCCTCCATAATAAATTTTAGTTCTTTTTTTCCCAGAAATATTCTCGGGAGAATTCTCATCCGAGTTTTATTTTTTATGTACCATGTAAAGGGAAAAAATTGTCCCCCTCCCCACACCCAAGGAGCGCCGCCCTTGCAAATAATTTTTTTTACAGGACCCTACCCTTGAGTGTTCTAATCATCTCCCCAAAGTTTCATGGTACACGGATGAACGGTGTGAAATCGAAATCGACTTTTTTTTTATAAACCATATTTAGAGAAAAATCGCAACCTCTCGTGGCGCCGCCCTTGCGAAATTAAAAATGATTTTTTTTTTTACAGAACACTTCCCTAGAGTTTTCTAATCAACGCCCTAAAGTCTCATGGATATCGGGTGAACGCTGTCAAACCAAAATCGACTTTTATTTTTATATACCGTATGTAGAGAAAAAACTAATCGCGACCTGCCGGGGCGCCACCCCTGCGTATTTGAAAATGTTTTTAGCGCAGAAACCTCCCCAGGAATATTCTAAACATCTTCTTAAAGTTTCAAAGCGATCGTGTGAAAGGTGTCATCTCTTCGGGGGGGGGGGGCGGAGCCGCCCCGAAGAACTTCTACCGTCCCTCCACCCCCGAACGAAATAGAATATACAAAGAAATTATGTACACTACAAATAAAACCTGTTTTACTCTATGCAGCTGATAGATGGAGAACAACTGCTATAAATAAGAAGAAAATACAATCGTTTATAAACGCATGCCTCAGAAAGATCCTGCAAATTCGCTGTCATAAATCCATCAGAAATGATGTTCTTTGGCAACGGACAAATCAACTGCCAGTTGAAGTAGAGATCCTCCAGCATAACAAGACAGGCCCTCACCTGGAATTCACAAGAGCAGGAGGAGGAGAGGCAGACCAAGAAGGACATTGAGACGTTACCTGGAAGAAGACACCACGAAGATTCGATACACCTTGGGACAGTTGGAGAGACTAGCCCGGGACAGAGGCGCCTAAAAAGCTCGTGTCCGAGGTCTATGTCCCAGGAGGGACGACAGGCAAACCTAACCCTTCTACACTTTTACCAGTGTCCCCCACCCCACCCCCGGGAAATTTAGTCCGCGCCCTCCCGTCCCCGAAAATTTGAAATCCCCCCTCCCTCTACTCCAGGAGAAAAAAGTCTGAAAGAAACACTTCGGCGTATGGTTTTATATGACCACATAATGTATGTTGTAACGGCTACTATCTTTTAATAGCTCTGTGTGTATGTCATTCGACCTTGCATCTTTTCGATTCTTTAGAATTTTAACGGCAATTTTTTATTTCTACTTAGGTAGTTGTCGTCTAGTAGATCTCAAGACAGCTCTGGTTTTTTTTAAATATCTGATTTATCGACTGGTGTTCATCTATTTAGAAATTCCTTGTAGTATTCTACCCATCCTTCTAGCACCACCACATGTGTTTGCGTATCTTCTTTGTTTTGTTTTGTTTTTGGCTTATAATGTTGGTGAAATTTAACTGACAGATTCTTTTTATGCTGTACTGGTCTTTTGTGTAACAATTTATTGCTGCCTCTACTTCCTACAAAGGCAAATTGTCTCAGTAGTTAGCCATTTATTCTCCCCGTCTTGTTAGCTTCTGGATAATGGTCTTGTCCGTCTTAATAAGAATGACTTGTAAGGTTGTTCATTGAAATGATTTTAATTCATTTCGGATATTTAAATTTTAATTTCATTTAAAATACTATAGGACATTGCTGGTATATTTTGGTGAGTGTTTTTCACACAGAATTTCTTTTAATATTGCGTAACTTACCCTCTTTATGTCGCATCTATTTGTTTGCTACATTTTTATTGAAACTTCAGTCCGAAGTAATACACCGTATTGGGATCTAGAATTTATATTCTTTTTACTCCTTATTTTAACTTTTGTTTTTAAGAGGTTTAAACTGATGTATCATAATCTCTTCTTTAAACTTTTACATCTTGCATGGACCGTCAGGTTCGAAAAGAGAACTTTACTTGTCTCTGACAGTTGATGATGTAGATATTGAGTGGCACTGAAGATTTTACCCTGATGGGTCACTAGCAGAAGCCACATATACAAATGTAGATTTGAGTACATTATTTTGACCATGTCCACGTATTTATGTACCCAACCAGATAAGTCGTCGGTGTGCCATATTTTACAATAACAATTAATTTAATACGTCTCCATAGTCTAAAAGCACATTAGCTGATGGAACATTAAAAATCCAAAATAAAACCTGGGCGTTAAGATATAAAGAGTTAGGTGTCGTCATTTATTAGACCCTTCCATCTAGTTAGCTGGTACACCTAATGGACAGGGCGTTACCTAGGCAATTTGGAATCAGCAGAGTCGCAGGAGCGGCTGAAAGGAAAAGACGAGTTTGTAACTCTATTACCCTAGGAGCTCTACTTCTGTTTAATTTTCGGAGTTTTCATATTAATTGCTGTCACAAAATAATAAAATACACCATCAGTAAATCATCATCTTTTCCCGTTCGTACCGAAGAAATATGGGACAAATAGAGTTCATCAGTTTCAGTGACCTTGGCATACGAGGGGATAGAGTGGTCAGCACTATGACCAGCCGCTTTCAGTGCCCATCAGAAAATATAAAACAAAAGCAATAACAAATGTAAGGATACAAGATACACATGTTTTCTATAAAAAAAATGTTGCTCTTCAAAATTTTTATTTCTCAATTCGGTAATAAAACCTTTTATCTATCTAACCCGAACATTTCAGACTTCTACAGCCTACGGCTATCCTTTTATCGTGATGTGAAACATGGTACCCCCCCCCCCTTCCCCCCCCCCCCCCCCGGCAAAATTTCACAGTACTACGCGGACAGTGGCTATATTCGAGCGGGTATTACATCAGTTATTGCCCGCGGGGCACCATAAACTCTGTAGCAATATATCGGCCAAGCACTCGTGTATACACTGGTGTAGTGACCTTTTCTTTTGTTTTAAAAATAAGTACGAAAAACGTGGTTTTCTAAATAGTAAAATTTGATGTCAAACTCCATATAAGGGCATGCGCGAAAAAATAATGTTTGGGAAGAGATTTGTTGATGCACTTGACCAATCAAAATAATTCACGATAGGTTGCAACTAACCGCGTTTGCTAGGCAGCCATTTTGTTTCTAGATAAACTATGATAGCTGTTCTGAGAATAACACTCTATTGATAGGATAAATAATACATAATAGTCAATTCTTCATTACCTGTTGGATACATATTTTCTGCTTACACAGTAAAATATGTCTTAAACTTACAACATAAATCAATCCGTATTTTATTAGTCAAATGGTTCATCTACATATAACAAGACGTTTTTTCTGTTTTCTCTAAGAGGAAACGCATAGTACCTTTCCGGCTTTCTTTTCACGTTTTCTCAACTTTGCATTTTTACAGAAAATTTAACATTCAAATCGCTAAGGCTTTGGGACCCTTTGTCATAAAAGATTGAAACATTCCACGTGCGTTTAACATTACACCATCTACAAAATCTACATCTTTCATCAGCTTTTAAAAATCTCTTATGGGATCAATGTTCTAGGGCTCATGCAGGTTTTATTGAACCGTAGAACTGGTTGGTGATCTACTAACCAGCTCTATCATCATCATCATTCCTTTGTGGCGAGCAAAGGGCTGCAACCACACATCTCCATCGGACTCGGTTTTGGGCTGACCCCTTTATCTGTGCCTATGTGTGCCCGGCTGCTTTCGTCTCTTCTTCAACCGTTCTTTTCCATGTCTTCCTTGGCCGGCCCACCAGCTTTATAGCGGTTTGAAAACGTGTTAGTTTTCACACCTTTTCGTGGTTTTCATGGCAACCAATACTGCTATTGGTAGCCATATATTATTTTTGTCAATAGGTTAAAAACAATTAAGATATGAAATTATTAGACACCCAGAAATGTGTTAAATAATTTGTTTTTTATCAGTATTGTCTAACCTTAATAAAACAACAACGTTTTTATGAATAGCAGTATCTTCTATCCATGCGGCACAATTTTTTTCGTTGCCATTCAAGCAATTGGCGCACTTCTAAGCCTAAACTCGAGCTGAGCGGTGCAGGTTCGTTAACACTTGCTGCATCGGACCCAAGAACCTAATGCAATTCAATAAAAATACATATTTAAAAACTTCTATCATTATGATAATGTATGAGTAGTATATTAGGTCACTTTTGGAGCGAATGGGTGAAGGTGGATGCGGATGCGGATGCGGAGAAAAGGTTATATAGGAAAATACTACGCCAACTGGGTGAGCCGCAGGTACAACGAGATATAGTAAAATACTCACCCACCTGGGTGAGTGGGTGAGCCGCAGGTACAACGAGATATAGTAAAATACTCCCCCACCTGGGAAGGTGGGGGAGCGGGTGGGTGAGGGTGGGTGAGGCGGAGGGGAGTAGGTCAGTAGGTCAGTAGGTCAGGTGAGGGGGTGACCTTGTGACGTAATCACCATCGGTGACCCAGTTACGTAATTTGTTTGTTTGTTTGATTTTAATGAGTTTTAAATTATTTTTTAATTTTATTAGTTTGAATTTTTTATTTATTTTGTTTTTAATTTTTAATTTTTATTAATTTTAATTAGTTTCATTTTTAAATTTTTTAAATTTTAAATTTTTATTTTTTAATTTTAATTAATTTATAATTTTTAATTTATTTTTAATTACTTTGTTTATATTTTATTTGTTTATTTTTTAATTAGTTTAATTATTTATTTAATTTTTTATTTTAATTTTTTTAAATTAGTTTAATTTTTAATTAGTTTGAATTTTTTAATTATTATTTTTAATTTTTTTAAATTTTTAAATTTTTAAATTTTATTTTTTAATTTTAATTAATTTTATATTTGTTTATTTGTTTATTTGTTGTTTATTTGTTGTTTATTTGATTGTTTGGTTTAATTCATTTTGTTTTTTTGTATGTTTTTTAATTTTTCATTTTAGAATAAGCGAGTAAACCTAACGTGTAGAAAAATAGAAAGTTCTTTGTGTAGGTCCCAACTACCATTAACGACATCTGTTTCAAACTATCCCACACATCAACAAATTTTTGACCACCAGTGAAGTTTTTCCGCGGTTGAGTTTTTGACAGGTGCCGCGCAGTGATTAATGGCTTTTCTCGCTCGCCATTTTCGCCCGTGACAGCTCAGTTTGATTTATGACCGCAGGTAAAGTTTCACCCTGTGCATTGGGACGTGCGCAGCATCGCCGGTATGCTGAATTATGGGAATGCACCGATTGCCACCCGTCGTTCAGCGTCGTGCTTTTTATGACGCAGTGGAATTTCGTCTTCGTGTTTTTATGGGTCTGTAAAACCAATTACTTTTCCGCGAAGGTGAAGTGCAATCTTTTTGTCAGTTAACGTAATGGCTTCTCCGCGAAGTTCAGACGGCGTTTATTTGAAGACCACCTGGCCAACACGAGACAGGCTGGCGTCACACTTAACGGAGGCTCTAGGGCTTTTTTCATTAGTTTGTTTTTAGGTTTTCTGGTACTACTATTCTACACCCTTTTTGAGATACACGTATACACATTCACACACACACACACACACACACACACACACACACATTCACACACACTAAAATTAGAACAAAGATCTACTTATATTTTATAATATGGGTGAAGGTGGGTGAAGGGGGAGCAGATGGGTGAAGGTGGAGCAGTAGTAGGAGTAAAGAATATATAGTAAGAGACTCCATTAACTGAGTGAGGTGGGTGAGGAATTAAAATTAAAATTAGCATCCACCTCCTGTAAGCTTTTACTATATATCCTTTACTCCTACTCCTGCTCCACCTTCACCCATCTGCTCTACCTTCACCCACCAGCTCACCCTTCACCCACCTCCTCACCCACCTCACTCAGTTGGTTGAGTCTTTTACTATATATCCTTTACTCCTACTCCTACTCCACCTTCACCCATCTGCTCCCCCTTCACCCACATGTTTACCCTTCACCCACCTGCTCACTCACCTCACCCATGTTACTATAAGCGAGTATGTATTGAACGCTTGTTAAGCTTACAGCATGATATTTTAAAAGCCTTTGATGACTTGGAAAAACGTTAATAAATAAATAAATAAAATATAAGAAGAGATTTGTTCTAATTTTAGTGCGTGTGAATGTGTGTGTGTGTGTGTGTGAATGTGTATACGTGTATCTCAAAAAGGGTGTAGAATAGTAGTACCAGAAAATCTAAAAACAAGGTAATGAAAAAAGCCCTAGAGCCTCCGTTAAGTGTGGCGCCAGCCTGTCTCGTGTTGGCCAGGTGGTCTTCAAATAAACGCCGTCTGAACTTCGCGGAGAAGCCATTACGTTTACCCGACAAAGAGATTTCACTTCACCTTCGCGGAAAAGTAATTGGTTTTACAGACCCATAAAAATACGAAGACGAAATTCCACTGGGTCATAAAAAAGCACGACGCTGAGCGACGGGTAGCAATCGGTGCATACCCATAATTCAGCATACCGGCGATGCTGCGCACGTCCCAATGCACAGGGTGAAACTTTACCTGCGGTCATAAATCAAACTGAGCTGTCACGGGCGAAACCGGCGTGCGAGAAAAGCCATTAATCACTGCGCGGCACCTGTCAAAAACTCATCCGCGGAAAAACTTCACTGGTGGTCAAAAATTCTTTGATGTGTGGGATAAATTGAAACAGATGTCGTTAATGGTTGTTGGGACCTACACAAAGAACTTTCTATTTTTGTACACGTTAGCGTTACTCGCTTATTTTTAAATTAAAAATTAAAAAACATACAAACAAACAAAATGAATTAAACCAAACAATCAAATAAACAACAAATAAACAACAAATAAACAAATAAACAAATATAAAATTAATTAAAATTAAAAAAATAAAATTTAAAAATTTAAAAATTTAAAAAATTAAAAAATAATAATTTAAAAATTCAAACTAATTAAAAATTAAACTAATTGAAAAAAAATTAAATTTAAATTTTTAAAAATAAATAATTAAACTAATTAAAAACTAAACAAACAAAGTAATTAAAAATAAATTAAAAATTAAAAATTAATCAAAATTAAAAAATAAAAATTTAAAATTTAAATATATAAATTAAAATTTAAAATATTTAAAAATTTAACTAATTAAAATTAATAAAAATTAAAAATTAAAAACAAAATAAATAAAAAATTCATACTAATAAAATTAAAAAATAATTAAAAACTCATTAAAATCAAACAAACAAACAAATTACGTAACTAGGTCACCGATGGTGATTGCGTCACAAGGTCACCCCTCACCTGACCTACTGACCTACTGACCTACTCCCCCTCCGCCTCACCCACCCTCACCCACCCGCTCCCCCACCTCCCCCAGGTGGGTGAGTATTTTACTATATCTTGTTGTACCTGCGGCTCACCCACTCACCCAGGTGGGTGAGTATTTTACTATATCTCGTTGTACCTGCGGCTCACCCTATATAACCTTTGCCCCGCATCCGCATCCGCATCCACCTTCACCCATTCGCTCCAAAAGTGACCTAATATACTACTTGTATGTAGTTTGGTACATAAATATGAATAACAACATATAATTATGCATAAAGCGTGGTGTGTTTAATAGAAAATGTATCGACGAATATATTTTACACCCTTTGATTTTAGCACTTTGATGGATAGTGGTCGAATCACCTTTATTATTGGTAAAGAATAATGTTAACTAAAAAATTTACCTACCGGTTCTAAGGCAATACAAAACAAACAAAGAAGCAACAATTTCGAGCATGTCTTTTTAAGGAACATTGTTCAGTCTATCAAAGCCTTGATCTAAAGAAAACGTTAGTGTGTAGTAAATAGTGTTATTGAATATTGTAAAAGAAAATGTAAAAAGAAATATTAAGAAATACAGTTAAATTGATAAGCGGATAATACAAAGATCTAAATAATAAAATGGGATAAAACCGATAAAAATACTTTGATATTCTAACAATAAATTCAAACATAAACTGTAAAAAAATTAAAATGATAAGATGAGGAGAGACAATTAAAAAAAAGTATTTTTGAATATTTACCTAACGTTCACTGGATGAGAAGCAGTCTGAGGTTTGGGCGTTTGACGTGGCACATGCGGATTTTATTACCATCCACAATGACGTACCCAATCGATACGATAAAAACAGCGGCGTAGAAATGTTCATCACAGCCTAAGATGACAGTTGAATGTTTTTAAAACTTACCAGTAGTCGGCTGAAGTTGAGATTAGTTAGGAAATGTAAAGTTTATGTGTAACAACAATAAAGCGGAAGTGAACCAACCGAACGACCGACTGACCAACCGAACGACCAACCGACGGACCGATCGACAGACAGAGAGACACACCCACCGACATACAGACAGACAGATAAAAATTGCACGTGTTTAGAACAAAATCTATATTAAAATTATATAATTATCCGGAATGTTCTAAATTACAAGATTTATTTAAAATACAATAATTGTCTCATTTCATTTAATTATCCTATCTATAGTTTATAATATAATAAAATCAAATTTATTAATTAATAAGTATTTATAACAATGGCGATAACACAAGTTTAACCCTACATTATGGATACCATCCTAGGCTACCGCCTAATTCGCCCTATATGTCTCGATCAATGGTAGGCGAGGGTTTATAATAGACCACTTTGTATTATGGATTTTTAATTGGGTGTGTGATCATTCAACACCTGCAGATCTGACAAAAAAAAAACACTAGACTGATGTAATTTACTCACTTGTCGTGTTTTATGAGCAAGGTAACTCAAAAACACAAGTGTTATTTTAGGGAGAGCAGGCGATAATAACAGAGGGGAAATAGCTTCTGGTTTGGACATACAACATTCATTTAGATTTTAAGCAACAAACACAAGATTGGTAGGGCATTTCTAACGATCGTTGTTAACAGAAAATTGGTAATCTCATGTTCAGCCCATTAATTCGCCACTTTCATTGAGTTATAGCTGTTTCACTATGTTTCACTAATTTTTCTAAACTTCTATGTTTATGAGATAAATCTTGTCGTATCCTTGAACCTCCCATCTGACGTTTAGGTTAGGTTTTAATTCTTTTTATTTGAATACATTAAATTCTTATTATTTGAATACATAACTAAGCCTAACATTCTAAAATCCGTTAATCACTACCTAACGTAGTGATTTTGAACGATGCTAATAGCCGGACAAGTATGTCTATTCATTTATTTATTATACTTGGTTTAAAGCTTTGTAGACTTCGTCTATCATTAGCGCGTCCTTTGTTTTAGCGATTGGACGGATAAGTCATAAACACACGTGTCGTTGAAACATTCAAAGGGTCAGGTAATTTTCACCAAACGGAATGAAGTCGGAAAATGAAATTTACTTTGTAAGAGCAAATTTGTAGACCTCCTAAAATCAGGGTCCCTCTTAGCCCCCCCCCCCCTTCCCTTTCCAATCCACCACTGTCTGCCCTGTGATCACCAGGCTTGAAGAGGCACCTAAAAAACGAACATCTCAAATAATGCTTCTAGGGATTGCTAATCAAAACAATTAGATCTATAGCCTATATCTAAAAATATAGCTATTCGAAACGTCAATTCTAATAACATATATTACGAGAAAAATGGCCCGTTGAGGAAGGATACAACGGGCGCTAGGCTGATAGTGCTGTCTCTTTTCTCTAAACTAAAACCACCCCCCCCCCCCCACACACACACCACCCCCCACCACCCCCACCCCAAAAAAAAACATGTCTACCGTCCCATTCAACGAAATATAATTATATACTTTTTCCAGTGTCCGCCCCCTCCCCAACCGTCTCCGGGGAGGAAAAAGTCTAAAAGAAACACTGGTGTCGCGCTTAGCCACTACCCGAAGAATTGCATTAAGAAATTGCAAGAAAACCACTTTTTAGATTAGACACATTGATTAGGCTGTAATTTTATTATAGAGTATCGATGAAGAAATTTCTTTTGAGTTGGGGAGGGGGGGGGGCTCAGACGTTCTTAAGCGGGGATGGGGCTTCGCCCCTACCCGAAGAATTGTATGCAAGAAACTCTTCACAGCAAACCATTTAGATTAAACAAAATAGCCTTTTTATTCAATGTTTACTCGAGAATCAATGACGTCATATTACTGTGTGCACTCTCCGGCTTGAGATTATTTTCTACTCTATGCTAAATGTGACGACGTCATACTTCGTTTTTCGAATTACTATGCATGTTTTTAATTTGCTTGTGTTTTATCTAGAGCGTTCTTGTCAGATACATAGATAGACAGACAGCGAAACTATTAGTATTAACGAGAAAAATGGCCCGTTGAGGAAGGATACAACGGGCGCTAGGTTGATAGTGCTGTCTATTTTCTCTAAACTGAAGCCAAAACCAAAATCGCCACCTTAATTAAAATTAACCGGAAACGAAAAATGACATTGAAAACGGATTTTTATCCAGAATCGGTACTTTAATTTATACAAAGTATAGTCATAGGCATATCCCTAAACCATGCACCTAATCTCATTCATGAAAAAAAACGCATTTAGAGTTTCTTTCAGGCAACCCTCCTTGGGAGGAGGGGGCTCCGACCCACCCACACACACCCCACAACATGTGTACCTTCCCATTCAACGAAATATAATTATTATAGATTTTTCCAGTGTCCGCCCCCTCCCAGAAAATTTCAACCCCCGCCCCCTAAAAAAATTCAAGTAACCCCACCCCTCTCCGGGGAGGAAAAAGTCTGAAAGAAACACTGGTCGCATTTGTAGATCATACAAACGAATGGAAGAACCTGGGCGGGGCTTCGCCCCTACCGGAAGAGATGCATGAAAAAAACTGTGCACGTTAAACACTTTTTAGATTAGAAAAAAGTTCCCCCTCCGGGGAGGAAAAAGTCTGAATGAAACACTGGTGTTGCGTTTAGCCACTACCCGAAGAAGTGCATGAAAGAAACTCTGCACGCAAACCACTTTTTATATTAGACACATGAATTAGGCTGTAACATTATTATAGAGTATCGATGACGACATTTCTTTTGAGTTGGGGGGGGGGGCGGCTTAGACGTTCATTCTCGAGGGTGGGGCTTCGCCCCTACCCGAAGAATTGTATGAAAGAAACTCTTCACGCAAACCACTTAGATTAGACAAAATTGGCTTTTTAATTCAATGTTTACTCGAGAATCAATGACGTCATATTATTTTGTGCACTCTCCCGGCTGCCGACTTTTTTCTACTATATGCTGAATATGACTTCATATATCGCTTCCGCTTTACTGTGAAAGTTTTTAATTTGCTTGTGTTTTCTCTAGAGCGTTCTTGTCAGATAGATAGATAGATACATAGATACATAGACAGACAGCGAAACTATTATTATAGATTATGTAAAGCATATTTTCATACCTTTCTGAGTAATTTAGCTGGAGAGCAAAGATGGTCAGGCTTTTTTTCATTAACATTAATTGCCTGGGTTAGTCTATAATGCTGCTGGTCTGAATTCTAGCTAATTGAGAATGTAGACTCACTGCCCAACTATTTCATATTTTTTTTTAAATTGGTTACCACAGCACTACGAGATCGGATGAAATAAATGTCGATTGATGGTTTCTCTTTTAAAGGGTGAAGGGTGGGGGTGGATGTGTGTGTCAACAGCATGCCTAAACTCATTTGTCAGAATTGAGTTGCTATTTTTGTATTATAAACTCTAAAAGGTAAAATCTTAGTTTAGCGTCGTAAATTCGGCCAAAACTAGTAATGTGGGAGAGAGCGAATTAATGAATATGTCATTAAATATGAGTATATTTTCGTATATTTTGATAAAGTATTATAGATAATTGAATAATAGATCACCATTGATGGTTAAATCAATTTAAATTTCCTGAAATTAATTTTTATCAACCCTGTTCGAGATAGTAAATTAGCTATTAAAAACAGCAGCCATCTTAAGAAAATGTTATTGAGAGTAGCTTCCCTTTCATTTCTATTCGTATGAAAATGTATTTAAATATGATCGTCTTGTTGTATAGTCCATATTACAAAGCATTTTTTTTTAAATGTGAATTTCCTAACAAACAACTTTATTAATTCTAGAAGCATTGTGAGATGCAACTTGTATCCATGTATTAAATCGCGTTTTTTTTAAGCTAATGTTTATTTGATCTTACTAATACTAAATAGTTGTGAGTTTTTTCTTATTGTTTTAATGTTCACTATTTTCATTTCAGGTTTTTCTTTTCATCAATTAGTAATTCTATCGTAACTTATGACATTTTTTTTACTTCTCTTTACCTTAATTAAACCCCAACCTCCGTCATATTTTTGTCGTCAATGTCACAACAAGTCATAATGTAAAAAATTACGCTTCACTCTGCCTTATCTAAGATCTCTAACCATAATTTTGACAACATTAAATGTTTGTCATCATTTATATATACAGAGAGACAAAATGTATTATCCACCAGCTTCCCTCGTAAAACATCATCTAAAACAATGAGCCAGTCTACCCCTTAAGTGCGTGTTGTCATTATGGTCGATCCCAAGTCTCCACCTGCCAGACACATTTTTGTTATCCTTTGTTGTCAAATTGTCAATATCAAGTACACAAGTGAGTGATATGGGGTTGTCCATAAATGATGTCACATATGATTTGCTACGAGAGTGAGTGAAGATTTGTGACGTCAACTCAGGCGGCTTTGCAATTTATGACGTGTCGGTCTCATGAAAGGAGGTGAACGGGGAAAAATAACTAGATGGTTGATGGAGAACCTCTATAATGCTTTGTTCAATCAAAATAACGATAAATAAACATTAGTATACGTATACCTTGCTTAAAACGAATCATCACAAATGTTGCAAGCCTGCTAGTTTAAGACATTCGGCAAAACGGCCGCAACACATTATCCCCGTCAAAAAGGCTTGCCACCAAATGCCTGCCGACGAATAAGCCGCGTCTAATGCGGGGCGTTAAGAATACGGCCATTAGCATGGGCCGCGTTAGAGCACCAGTAGGCTATCGCGCTTTGTAAGATGACGTAAATACTTAAATTCAATTTCGCTAAACTGCGCGAAAATTTAGTAATGTTCCATCGTTTGAGGAAATTTATTTTCTTGGACTTAAACTTAAATTGAAAT